AGGTGTGCAACAGCTGACACAGTTTCAGGTTCTTTGAATACACTGATGTGATATGCTCACTGATTGGTTGAGAGCTTGTAGTAAACTTGCAACAAGTCAATCCAGGTCCTTTGCAGGGTTGTTGTTATGTTCGGGCGAAGACCCTAACCCATAGAGCACATGTAGCTTTCACCCTCCCTCCCCATACCATTATGCAGTTTCCTAATAGAAACACAGTTTCCACCACTTAACATTTGTGGCTAAGCAGTGGATTTTTGGTGATGTGATTCCCTTTTTTTATCCCAATAAGGAACAAAATGGATGTACTAAGATTTGTTCCCATTTTGCCCCTGAATTTCTCAATTCCACCCAAGTCTGCATTTATTTGTCCCATTTCAGTGACCTCAACATGTCACTGGCCATGGTCTTAATGTTCTTGCAGGTCAACGGTTATATGAAAAAAAAATCAAAATGTATTACCCAGAAAAGTTTGTTTTACCCCCTCATAAAACAAGTGTCTTGTATTATGCATAATGGCTACCATAATGGAAATGTTTACAGGAATCTGTGGTATGTATTCACTATGTGATTCCAGGTCTATAAGATAAATGCCAGGCTCAAGAAGAGATTGTGAGTTTTGGTTGATTAAAGCCTACTAGATTTAGAGAGGAGCATTTCAACTTAGAACGTGTTACTGTCAACAAAGCTACATATTACGACAGTGTTTCTCAGTCTCAGCAACTTTAAGTTATATGGATTTCAACTCCTAGAATTTTGCAGCCAAAATGCTGTGGAATTGAAATCCACACATCTTGAGATTGGGAATACTGTATTAGGAGATGGAGAGTAACATTCTGTGTCATGCCAGTCTGCCTCTTCTTCTATAAAGAGCAAAAACTATACTTAAAAATACAATAATAAAAGGATTATTTTATTCATGCATAGTGTGTCTTGCCTTGTTACTTTTTTGGGAAAGGATAAACTCTTGTTATGTCATTGTCAAGATACAACAGAAAATTGTGCTCATATGCTTGTTCCACTATGTAGAAGTGGGAATGTTTACATATATAGATGGATATTCCATATTTAATATATGGAAAAAGATTTGCCCAAATTTCTAATTTCATACAGCTATTAAAAATTACAGGAAACTTCAACTGCCTCTTATTCTGCTCTGAGAAAGCAGACATAATGTATACTAACATTTTTATTTGGGGGGAGGGAGGAAAGAGCTTATGTTTATGGTTCCTATTGATATTTGAAAGCATTTGAAGAAATTTGAGGCAAATTTCGTGATTTGGTGCATGTCTGTGTTTATAGCAATACCAATAGCACTTAGACTTATATACCACTTCACAGAGATTTACAGCCCTCTCTAAGCATATTGTCAGCATATTGTCTAAGCATATTGTCAGCATATTGTCCCCAACAATCTGGGTCCACATTTTTCCAACCTCAGAAGGATGGAAGGCTTGGAGCCAGTCAGAATCAAGCTGCTGGCAGTTGGCAGAGTTAGCCTGCAATACTGCATTCTAATCACTGCGCCACCATAGCTCATTTGATTCACCTGCCTAAATGATTATTATCAAATATTCTACAGTTACGTTTATGCATGCACACCCATTTCAAGAGATGGTATTATTTTCTTACAATGGAGCAATTTCAAGAGTTGTACTCCATTCGCAGGTCCGGTAATAACTGTTAGTCCACTGGATATTCAACTGACACTTTCTAAAAGTCAAAATTCTTATTGTTAAAGGAAATCCTGACAAAGGATACATACGTGCTCTGGAAACATATCTGCAATTTGCAAACAAGTATTATGGTTGCCTCAGTCCCTATGAATTAAAAAAAAAAACCACCTGGAACATATAGTGCAAGTTGACTAGTAAGTTGGAAGATATCCATAGGTTTTCCTGCTAGGTTAATTCAAGCATAATAAAGAATCTGAATTTCCTTATATCTGAACTAATAATCTTCCAGAATGGCAATTATTCCCTACCAGTATTTTCTTCTGCTGCATTATTGCCAGATAAGTAACTTCCAACTATACGGTGCATCCCAAAGGTGTTTTATCACCTTTGGAAGGTGAAGAAGTTTCTTGGATGAAGAGAAACTCTTCAAGGAAAAAACAAGAAAGTCCAATTGCCTTTTGAAAACACACCTTTGGGACAACCATGACTTGGATGACTGAGAATTTCCATAGACATTAGTGCATCCATGGCCTCTATAGATCACACATGCATCCATGAAAAACTTACTAATATCAAATCATTTATCATCATCATCAAACTTTGGGCCAGTCGGTCTCACTCACCTTATAGCGTTGTTGTGGGAAATAAGGAGGAAGAAGTATTGTATGTATTCATAACCTTGAGTTATTTATAAAAATGATAAAGGCAGAATATAAATAAATGAAAATATTAATTACTTCAGGAGAAGAAAAGCTACAAGATTAATTTTGATGTTTATTCCATTCTCGGGCAACTAATTTGTTTATCAGATTATTGTTTGCTTGTCTCCCATTATTCACAAACTGCTGCATGATTGATCTTCTTGGTTGTATGTTGCTGTTTTACAAACGGAAGTAGAATCAGTCTTGTAATATCTCCTTATTTTGGAAATAGAATAATTATAAGGGGATTTATGTGTGGGGGTTTTTTGCTGCCAACGAAGAGTTTAAACAATCCTCCAAATATGTAATTCTCATCAAAAAGAAAAAAAAGTCTAAAATTAAAACCTGTTTTTAAGATAGTCTAGTAACTTTACAATGATCCTTCACTCTAAGCCAAGTATGAATACATCCAAGAGCCAAGATCAATGAAAGTTGCCCAGCATTTAGAGTACCATGTCGTCTCTATGGGAAGGCAGAGATCAAAAATAGTTGCATAAATGTAATTGAATATCTCAGCAATTGGAGGTATAAACTAGCTTTAGATCTACTTGATCTTGGATAAGTGTAGGACAAAACAGATACGGATTTTGTGTAAGCTGATATTCTTCTACTGAAAAGAAAGATTATCAAAGAGCCATGATGGTGCAGTGGTTAGAATGCAGTAGTGGAGCCAACTCTACTCACAGCCTGGAGTTTGATTCTGATCGACTTAAGGTTGACTCAGCTTTGCATCCTTCTGAGGTCAGTAAAATGACCCAGTTTGTTGGGGGCAATACGCTGACTCTGTAAACTGTTTAAAGAGGGCTGCAAAGCACTATGAAGCAGTATGTAAAACTAAATTTCTGAACTGTTTCTGCAGTTTATTTTTATGATCACCCCTTTTTCTAATCACTATTTATACATGGCTGTAAGGTGCTGAATCCTGATCTTTCTAGGAAAAATTAAAGAGAATCTTGCAAGCTTGATGTACATTCTCACAGTTACAATCTTCGTTAGCATTCCTTTTATTAACAAACTAGCCCAATGTTGAAAGAGGCAAACTACAAATTATCTGAACAAAAATAGGACGAGTGTAAGAGTGTCGTGTAAATGCTTGAGCTCAGGCTGAACACAGTTTCTTGATGAGGAAGTAGCAGTGGAAAAGCATAATTCTAGCCACCCTTCTTCCAGGGACTCACATGCCATTATTCATCTCTACCTGCTTTGGGCTTCAGAATTAGCACTTGGAGAATATGGCATCATTGTGGGGCAATCATAGCCTGTCTCTATCTACAGTTATACTGACAAATTGCAATTACATAAGCATAAATACTTTCAATTCAAATACCCTTTTTCTGATTTAATAAAGAACCTGAATACACAAGGTAGGGTATTCCAGTAAATAGCATGGAAAATAAATTAAGATCATATCCAGTGGCAACTTTCAAAGTATTTCTATTAATGAAAGGGTCGAGCAGCCTGGTATAGAAACATAATCCAATAATCTTTTATCTTGGAGATTTTTTTTAAAAAAAACAAATCCACTCAGGTTTATTTTTCAGTAGACCTACATAGTTATCTCAGTATCTGAATCCTGTCCTGAAACTAGACTTGAATGTGTCTAGATCAGTGGTTCTTAACCTTTCTAATGCCGTGACCCCATAATACAGTTCCCCATGTTGTGGTGACCCCCAAGTGGGTGTGGCCACCAATAAGAGGGAGTAGGACAGCTAGGGAAAAGGGAAAAAAATGGCAGACAGCGTGGTTTGGCGACCCCCGTGAAATGGTCATTTGACCCCAAATGGGGTCCCGACCCATAGGTTGAGAACCACTGGTCTAGATCAAGGGTCCCCAACCCTAGACGTGGTTCACTATTGGGCATTAAGCCCTTCAGAATTGGGCCGTGGAAGTGGGTGAGCAAGTGTGTGCAACTCCACTTGCGTAATCAGTGGGCGCACTTGCCCACCACTTGTGCAAATGGAGCTGCATGCATGCATATGCTCACCCACCACTTCCACGGCCCGGTTCCAAAGGGCTCAAATGATCCATGGCCCGGGGGTAGGGGACCCCTGCTCTACATGCTATCCTTTACTATCACCTGAAAGCTATAGCTGGTTCAGAATGCAGTAATGTAGATGGGCATGCCTTTGTATGTAACACCTTAGCTTTGCAACGTACACTGATTGCCAGTTTGCTTCTGGATACAGTTTAAAATGTTGATCATTACCTATAAAGGCATATGACCTGGTAACTTGATGGCTGCCTATCTCCCATAGTATCTGCCCAACAAATTCAATCTGGCAAGGTTGGCACCCTCCTGGTTCCATCAATTAAACAATGCCATCTGTCTGAGGAGATCCAGATGGCTCTCACCTTGCTGGTGTCTCAAAAGGTGTTGGAGACTTGCCTCTTCACTCAGGCCTTTGGCAAGCATAAGTATAGTTCCCCTTTGGATTGTGTGTGTGTGTGTGTGTGTGTGTGTGTGTGTGTGTCTTTTCAATTAAGTCCATATTTTTATCAGCCTAGCTAATTTTACTTTTCATTTTTGCCTATTGTTGCTTTTTTCCTTCTTTTAAATGCTTTTATTTGTAACTATCCAGAGTCACTGGAAGCCATATGAAATTAAATAATATCTGATGTAGCACTGTAAGAAAGGACTTATTTTAATTCCAAAGAATGTTCATTTTAATAATGTTAAAAATATTGCTCATTCTATATACTTACATCCTGCAACATGCTCAATAAATCTAAAATTTTGTATGCTGTGCATGGTCAGTATTCCTCTTGGTGGCAGCACCTAGCCAACATTGGTTAATTTTGAAAATGTAAGAAAGGTTACAAGGTACTTGGTAAGTAAAACCTGGTTAATACTTGTATAAGAGATCAGGAAACACTAGAGTTGTAAGCTAGATTGCCTTTTTCCATTCCATTGTTGTTGTCGTCATCATCATCATCATCTAGCCAAAGGCAAATCTCTTCTAAATTGTTTCCAATAAAAATGTACAGACATGTCGATGAAGTTGCCAGGAATTAAATTTAGCCTGGAGAGTTAATCTTACCTTAAGTCAAATACTGAAGTCTTAAGGAACTTCCATGTTTAACAAGTTTATGCCATAATCAATGTGGTAGTATGTATAGGAGCATGAAGGGGGGGGGGTTGTAAAAGAATAATATGTCAACTTTTTCTGAAAGCACATATGAGTAATGGTAGAGGTTTCCTTGAAGTTTTGGCCATAATTCCTTTACCTCCTAAATATTGTGTCAGTTTCACACGGTTTAGCACCCACTCTCTTTTAATTTTGATAGCCCAGACAACCTCTACTTGAGCATACATTTCAGATTCTCTCTTAATTTTCAGTGGCAGTGTAAGACAAAATGACAGTCACAATGACTTTGCTTTTGATCATTAGCCAAAATCTGCTTTGCTGATTTCATAAAGGCACACGATTGGGCCATAACTTGTAATTCTCAATGTAACTGCTGCAGTACCAGAAGTTGCAGCATAATTTCAGGAAATGTCTCCAAGAGAATTTACCTGATTTGGGATAATTATCCTACTCCAGGGATCAGCACAAGTCTCCAGGTGCAGCCCATACACCAGAACAACCTGTATCGTTGCCAGGACCATGTTCAGGCTGCCTTGGGGGGTGGAGACTGTGTGTTTTCTTCACTGTTTCCCAGATGCTCAGCTAGTTGGCCTCCTCAGGCAGGCAGGTGCCAAATTGTTCTTGTTTTGGGGTCAGCCTGAGCTCCAGCAGGAGGCTGCTTTGCACAATCCTATTGTTTTTTCCCCTCAAGAAAGGTTTGTTCACACACTGAGAATGGGTGACTCTGTCCTTCTGTTAACAATACCCGAAACAGTAACTACTTTCATTCACTGCATATATGGAAAACTAATCAAGTTCATTAATATTAAACCTGGACAGACTTTCTGGTCTGCTCCTTTGAATTAAACTACAATTTTGCATTCCTCTAACACATAAACAGAAAACCAATATACCGGGCCAGCCTGATTCTAAACCATTGATGCACCATTATTCTGAATTCCAAATCATGATTCTTAGTTTTTTTCCAACATCAAACTTGAAATATCAAAGCCTGGCTGTTGTGCTAAGAACAGGAGGAAAAAAGCAGACTAGAAAGTCATTTAAAGTATAGCCCCCAAGCTTGTTTGCTATCAGAGAAATGGGCTGTTGAGCTTTCTGCTTGTTACCCAGAAAGAAAAGAAAGGTTAGAGAGCATAGGAATTTTAAGCTAGGTCAGAAGACTGCTACGCAATATTATAATTGCCCACTGTTAATTTACAAAGTTGCAAACAATGTTACGTTGCTCCTTTGATCTCAAATAGTCTTCCAATTATTAGAATGGAAAAGTCTCTATAGCATCAGTATTCTCTTTCCTTTTCCATCAAATTCCTACTTTCTTTGGATTCCCATACCATGTAGTTGGAAATATTTAGATTATTTTTTCTTTTAAAGTAAAAAAACCCCTACAAAACCACAAAGCCTAGAATGAGATCTGAATGGCCCTGTTCATTTCCTTTTTGCCATTTTACTTAAACAGTAAATGTTTATTTGCTTCCTGTTTCCCAGACACAATTTATTTGTTTCCTGTTTCCCAGACACAGGAATCTCTACAGTTCACCAGCCAGATCCAACTGTCTTTGTCAATAGTTGCTTTTAGCTCCATCAACATTGCAGAGGATAAAGGATGCTGTTCCCAGAAGTCCTCCAGCCCAGAAAGGAATCAGTTACTCTGAATTTGTTCTCTTTGCTCTGCTTTTCAGACAGGGTGTACAAATTGGTAGACCAGCCTTTGTGAGATATCTGGTTTCCTGATGATCCCTTTCTTATAATACTGCCGAATTGAGCGGCTCAGCTTGTCGTAGTTCATGGCAGGCCGGTTCTTCCGGATTCCCCATAGCCGAGCCACCTGGGCAGAATCTTCAATCTTAAATATACCTAGGCAGTAAATATGAGAAACAAGAAATCCATTTATGTGGGCCACATCCTACCTACCATCTTCACACTATTATGATACTTTGAATCGGAGGAATTATTAACAGAAAAGATAGCTTGTTTAATAAAAAGAGGAAGAAATGTTTGCAAGGAACCATAAAAAAGCAAATAAAAATAAATTTGGAGAAGCAAAATCAAAAGCACTATAATGTTTTTTTTATTATTGGATTTATAGTTTTGCTTACTATTTATTCCAATGCTCAAATCAGCCAGCACACTAGAAAATGCAGCGTATAAAACCTAGCAAAGTTCATATAATTCAAATCAAAACCCAAATTAAAACTGATCAGTAAATAAAACACGTATGAATCCTGACAAGCATCAGACCTATCCCATTGCTCTTATACATATGGACAGTAGCAGTGGTCCTTCACAACTGAGAGTGGTCTGAATAAAATGCCTGTTTGGGAGCTCTGATGTAGATTTCTGCCCATTCTATTTCCCTCCCCTTAATTTCCCCTTAAGTTTGCACTTGGTGTGCTATGTCTTTCTCTCCCTCTTTTCCAGTTTGGAAGCATGGAGGTGGCTGAAAGAGTAAAATGGATGTTCTGATACCGAAGCCACCAATCTCACACCTGAAATTCCTCCCACCCCAACTTTTTTTTTTTTTTTTGCCCCTGGCGAATGTATAGAGTTTTTATATTTCAGAAGACCTTTATAAAAGGACTTTCCAAACTATGGAATCTTGGACTATCCAAATAAAGAATTTGCCTCCCATTTTCAGTATGAAATCAATATCACTGACCTTTTTCCTTATTGAGCCAACGAATGAAGCGACCATAGTTATGAGGCTTCAGCAGAAGCTCTTTCAAAAACTGCCATAGGTGAATGGGCTGGCCTGAGCAGGATGAATCTACCTCGCTGTCTGTCCAGTTCTCATCATTCCCTATAGTAAGGAAACATCCATCTAAATTAATTTTTAGAAAGCAATGTACTTTTTATTAGAAAAAGCAAGTTATTTTAGACAGGAACAATGGCAGTGTCACCTAGCTTAAAGTAGACTCAAATAGTGTAATGCATTTTGCATAGAACTGTTTTTGAAAAATCCTGGAATCCTCAGTTGATCATATGAAAAGGGCAGCTAAGAGAAATCAGTTATCAGGAACCTGTTTAACCTTCAGATTACAATATATTTTCTGTATATAAGCATTTGCAACATCAGCATTAATGTCCTGCTTATTTCTAAGCCAACCAACAACTGTAATATTCTAGTTGGTCTAGGATCAAACCACCTAAAAGTCTCCCTCCTCTCCATATGATCATCACACTGATTGAACTGTGCTGGAAATATTCCTCTTTATGTCCCAACCAAAAATGTTAGATTTTTCTATGTCCAAGATTTAAAAGAGAAACTCTTATATCTGGACTAGAGTAAAACCTCATGTGGTAGGTCCAACACCATGCTTTCTTTTCTTTTCTTTTCTTTCTTTCTTTCTTTCTTTCTTTCTTTCTTTCTTTCTTTCTTTCTTTCTTTCTTTCTTTTTTGACAGTTTTCCACCAGTACATTTCCCTTTTTCAGCAAGCATTTAGCCTTTCAAATTTCTAACTTTATTTTTGTAAGATTTGTTTTTTAAGATATTGTTCTTGAATTATTTTTCACCACTCTGTTATCTTGTTCTTTAATTCTTTAAGTGCCAAAGGAATGTTAGCTCTTATTGAGAAGAAAATTACATTTTCCCACTCATTCATGCTAGCTCTCTCTCTCTCTCTCATCTCTCTCTCTGCTCATACAGTATACAGAAACTATTCTATTATATGAAGATGTTATTCCATTTTGGATAATGGTATCTACTTTCATACAGTGTATTCTTTATTATAATGCTTACTGTAAGAATTGGTTAGAATGCAGTATTGCAGGCTAACTCTGCCCACAGTTCAATCCTGACCGGTTCAAGGTTGACTCAACCTGCCATCCTTCCGAGGTTGGTAAAATGAAGATCCAGATTGTTGGGGACAATATGTTGACATTTTAAACTGCTGAGAGTGTACTGTAAAGCACTACAGAATGGTATATAAGTCTAAGTGCTATTGCTTTTGCTATACTGTAATATAATATATATCAGTGATGGCGAACCTTTTAGAGACTGAGTGCCCAAACTGCAACCCAAAACCCACTTATGCATTGTCGAATTTCAGGTGGGTGTGGCCCAATGGCTGGGTGTGGCCAATTGGATAGGCGTAGCCCATTGGGTAGGCGTGGCTGTGGCTGTAACGGCAGACTGGGTGGGACTAAAAAGTTCAATCAATCAATTCCAACTTTGAAAGATCTTTTTTTTTCCCACGAGAAGTTGAAATTGACTGATTGAACCTTTTTTTTTTTTTTTTTGCACAGGGTGGCGGAGGCCTAAAGCGAAAAGGTTTTATAAAACCCAGCTGAAGGCCTAGGACTGGGGCGACGGCCTGCGTGCCCACAGAGAAGGCTCTGAGTGCCATCTCTGGCACCCGTGCCATAGGTTCGCCACCACTGATATATATAGTATAATAATGTAAAATCCATATACCAAAGGTACATAATTTAGTCAATGACTGGTCTTAAAAAGGACTGTATATTTTCGTCTTTTGATCTAACAATATCCAGACATTAAGCAGAACTAGAAGGCAGCTGCTTCTACTGCAGGAATTGAAATCATATAGAATAGAATTCTTTATTGGCCAAGTGTGATTGGACACACAAGGAATTTGACTCCGGTGCAAAAGGTCTCAGTGTACATACAAGCAACAAGTGATAAATCATGATCATAATCATAATATTGTGACATGTGCTTGTAATAAAGCAACATTTGGATTCTTGAATACCTTTTTTCTGCATCCCTATAGCTTCTTAGCTTTTTAACATTTCTCCCTCTCTGAAATATTTTTATCATTAGAATAATTAATAATATAAAATAAAATCTATTTTATTTTTATTGTTAGCAACAGTTAGCTCACCACAGTAATGCAGCTCCCCGGGAGCAGTTTTTTCTTTCATCCAGGCAGCTGGAAAGCAAACATAACATAAAGTTAATCTAATGGATTCTGACAGGCTGAATTTCCCCACTTCTTCCCATTCTTGAGGTCTCTTCAACAGTGCTTAAAAAAAGCCAATAGCTCATATAACTGGAAGGGATGCAAAGGACAAAATCCTGCTCTGTAGTACACTCACTATTCTACCTCAAAGTGATCAGCACCAAACTGTTCCAATCCAAAGCTCTACTAAACATGAGGCTGAACACTGGGACAATATCCCCCCCAAAAAAGCAAGAAGTCAAAAGCACAAGTAAAATCATTAGCACCGATTATTTCGAGAGTCTTGTTTTCCAGCAGTAGTTTGGAAGTACCACAGTATAGGAGAAAAGTCCCGCTATTGCTCCAACTAGCAAAATACCTTTTTGAAGAATGAGTTTTCAGTTTCATCATTTGTGTCTCAATTCTCTTACTAAATACCTGACTTCCAAATGTCCAGATGAGCATGTAAAACATCACCACATGATGGAGAACGTTGACGGAACGCTTCTTCAGTCATGTCACATAGCTCCTTCCCAGACAAGTCTTGGAATGATTTTCCAATCTGGGGCAATCGATATTGGTGTTCTGTCCATAAGATCCACTTCTGAACATTTCCTGGACTCCAGTCTGCAGGGTCTACAAAAATACACAGCACACATACATATATATACTAGAGAGTGTGTACATTGTTTCAGTCATAATTCATCTTCAGAACAAATATTCTAAGACAATATTCCAGGTGACTAGCATTGTGAGGAGGAACGCCTCCATTTTTTGATATTTTCATTGTTCTGATACATCAGCCAACATACAGCTATCATATCAATGTTTTCTGCTAAAGTTTTAAAGCAGTATTTATCTCTGAAATATTAGGCAGTAATAAAGCTATCATTGGAACTGCTGAACAACAACAACAGTCAATAACATCCGAACAATCTCCTAGAGAATAGTGCACGTTGGATACAGCTGTAGGTCTGATGTCGGTATCTTACATGGACAGACCATGACTGATAAAGGCTGATGATAGCTGCCATATTAGTCTTAATTTTTTTCTTGTTTTCAGGAATGTTCTAATAATTGAAGAGGTAAAACAAGCAGGTTGGCTTTTGTGTAGACAGTTTGCATTTTATATTTGTGTTGGCAGCATTTAGATCCTGCCGGCAGTATACTGGGAACATTTGCCTGGCAAGAAATCCATTGCAATTAGAAGAACTAGAAGAGAGAGCTGATATGTTACGCTACCCATCTTTATTGCAACTTATGTTTATGATTTGTAATTTCCTCTACATCGACTGAATTAAAAAGAGCACAGTCCTCCTTTAGTATGTAAAATTTGGAAACCTCAACTAAAATGAAAACTTTCCTGTCACTACCTCAGATGACCAACTTTTAAGAGTTCCTCAAGTTTGGATACAGTACAATTCAACTGACCAATCTGTATGACAAGGACCTGTTCTCCTCTAGATATTTCTGGCCTTCAAGTTCTATTATTCACATACATCATGATTTAGGGTCAAGACACTGGATCCAACACTATCTAGACAGTTCCAAAGCTGGTTTATTGCAGACTTCCATAATTTGACTCAGTTCATCCTAATGTCAACTGCTTTTCCTTTAGTGCCAACATGGCTAATGATGAATTATAATGGGATCATGCCTGAAAAACAATCTCAGCTGGGGAAGGCTGGTGTAAAATTTCTAAGACTTATCCGAATAAAGAATGCAAACCCATGTTGTATTTTAATATTTTTCCACTTCCTTGTCCTAACAACCAGCCAGGTTTTGCTCTTTCTAATCACAGCTCTGCCATTTCTTCTGCAACAGTGTTGAGTAGTCCATAAGAAGTCTGTGATTTTTATTAGATGCATGCAAATGCATATATGTGAATGAAGCATTTGGTATCTGGAGATAATGAATAAAGTGAAGAAAGCAGAAAAATGAAAAGCCCAGTGACAGCGTCTTTCTGTAACGCAACAGCGAGTACCATATGTGCATCCCAGGAGAAAGCCGTTCTCCCTCCATTTCCCCCCTTGTTCCTTTGCTCCAGCTATGTCAAATCTTTTTATTTCCACTGCCATGAAAGAATACTTGAGCTTTGATAACCAGCCTACAAATTTAGAGAACTGCTATGTTGTACATCATTATATAACAAGTAAATAAATCAGGTTGAAAGCTTATTTGATCCTCACACACATCAACTCCAGTTTTACGGAGTTTATAATCCTAATGTCAGGATAAAAGGCATAGTAATAAAGAATCTTCTAATACCCTAATGACTGATGAATTTATTACCTTATGTTAACTTGTCCATTCCATTAGATGCATTTTGTGATTCATAGAATCTTATACAATAACAAAATGGTTAGTCTTTAAGGTGCCACAAAACATTTCATTGCTTTTTGTTGCAAAGAAAACAAACAACATGGTAGTCTGAAAGGAGATTGAAACCTATCAATGATAGGCAAAGAATATTGCCAATTGTTGGCAAATGACCACAACAGTCTCACTAGTTTTGCAATGCATAATTATGCCTCTACATACACATTTTGTTCTATTTTGTGGGCTAAGCTGTGCCAAATATAAGAACAATAGGCCTGTGGTACTCACCTGCGGCAATGTTGAGCAGCTTACAAGCTGTTTCAATGTCCTTGAGCACTTCACCCACTACCATTGTTTGCACCTGTTCCAGAGAGTGCTCCTCAAGGTGAAGACTGGCCTGATAATCCATCTCAGAGGTGAGGCTCAATCCTTGACTGTCAATGATGGGACACTGCTCAGGTTCCTTATGCACTTCCGTCCTGCTTCCTTGGTTGTTGTGTTGTTGAGTTTCACCCAAACTCTTTGGGACCCAATTGCTGTCATCTGGGTACAGCATATTAAAATACTGCAGGCAATAGGTGGGAAGGATTTGCTCAGGTGTAGCAGGGGGGCTTGGGCTGTCAAGGGGCCGCCAGCTTGGGCTGTCAGGATCTCGAGCAAGAGGGAGCTTCTCCAGGCCAGAAAAGAGTACAGGATCCTGAAAGGTGACCCGACTGTGAGGCAGAGCAACCAGACCTTGGCCAGCACTGCCCATCACTCTGTGCAAGTTTTCCTCCAGATCTGCCATCAAAGAAGAGAGAGAGAGAGAAAGAAGGGGGGTGGAAACATATGCCTCAGTCAGAAGGGATGGTTTGATAATAATTTCTGCATTTCTGCCCAGTGATCAGGCACAATGGAGGAAAGCTAAGCCTGTTAAAGGAAAAGAAACCACCAAAGAGTCATTCTATGGCCAAAGAGACCCCTTGATGAAAACAGGTTAAATAGCTCTTCAAGGGCCCAGGCAACTCCTCCCTTCTGGGTCATTGGGCAATAAGAGGGTAAGGGAAGGAATCACGATAGGAAGGGGAAAAGCAAATGCAGGAAAGAACATTACTGGGGTTAAATGTATGGAGAATGAAGTAAGTCTCTCTCTAGTTTCCAAAGGGCAAAGGCTAAGAAAGGAAGAAGACCACAATATGAGGAACTCATCTAACAGTCCTTGTGGGGAATAGAAAATGAAAGGTGAGTAGAAATGAAATTGGGGCTCCATGTAAATACTCAGAGATGGGGCTCTTCATGAATATATTGTATGTGCAGGAAGGAGAGCAATGCAAAAAATAAGCACTGTCTGCACATCGTTATTCATGAATCACCTTCACCTGCATTATTCACAGATTTATGTCATTAAGTGACAGCTTCAAAGAAAGACCAGATTATTTTTAAAGAACAATATTTTATATCTGCAGATATGATGATAGCCGATTCCAAAAGTTCATTTACTGTTATCTTTTCCCCCAAAATATGATTGTATAAAATATCATTGGTCCCTGGATTTATTTCTTTAAACCCTACATAACCCAACACTTTACAAGGCAGCACAGACAATGTGAGAGAAAATACCACTGTACTGTCATTCTGAGACCCCTCAGAATGATAGGTTTGGAAGGGGCTTTGGAGGTCTTCTAGTCTAACCCCCTACTCCAGCAGGAGGTCCTGTATCTTTTCAGACAAATGGCTTGTCCAATCTCTTAAAAACCCCCAGTGATGGAGGCATGATGTTCCACTAACTACTTCACCTTGTCCTTGTCCACTAAATGCTTCACATTGTCCAAAGCAACAGAAAAAGGTTTCTCCTTTACTCATATGAAAAGCAATTTCCACCCATGTGAATGCAGTATTTGCAGAAGTTAAATTGACCAGCATCTAAAACTATGGCTAAAATGTTGAGAATGACACATAAATTTAACAAGTCAAAGCAACTATTGATCTCTCAGATGTTATAGAGAATTTCTCACTTCTTCTTTTGACTAGGTGATTTTCCTCCCAATTTGATGGGTAAAATTGGAGATAAAATATCAATGACTATCATTTACAAAATATTAAGTTATATTATCTATGGATTTGTCCCACCATAAACAACACCCCCACTCTTGTTTTTGGTGACATATTCATGGACCTTACCTTTAACTGAGCCCAAATTACAGAATATTTGCATTTACCACACTAAATGAGTCAGAATAATTCTAATTTAGTATGTGTATTATGCATCAGAGACAGGCAGAGTTTTACACAATTCGTTGAATGCACATTGGACATTAAGATTATCTTTAATATTCAACAACCCACCCACCCCTGCCCAACCTAACACATATAACTTGGTTTTATCTCTGAATGAAATTAACTAAGATTAGAATACCAACATTCTGATGAAATAGCAGGTTGGGCATCACCACAATGAGTCCACTATCCTGGAAATATTTTCATAAGCATTTTTGGGTAGGCAATGAACTGTCTTTCAATTCCCTAGGGACACAACTGAGTCAATGCAAAGGCAAAGAGATGCGGTGCATCCAACATGGTCTTTGATCTAAGTCTATCACATTCTGAAATCATATTCTGGTGGAACATTTCAACCTCATTTTAATCTTTCATCCTTTCCTTTTGTCCTTTGGTGATGAAAAGTGACCTGGGCTCAGCAGAGAGGTGGATGAATTGGCTGGATTTCCATGACAACTTTGCAACTGTCATGAACCAAACAGAAAGCCTGAGGGCTTAAAGTGTGTGAGGTGAGAATGACAGGAAAGAAAAGACAGTCCCTCTGAAATGAGAGTACAGTTAAAAGGCTGCTGTTGGGGACATCATGCTGGAATATAGAAGCTCAAGTAGGTGACTCACAAACACCTTCTTTCCATAGGGATTCTAGCGCTATACAGAAGCTCAATTCAAACAAATAATTCACTCCCCTTCCCACCATTCACCCACTGAATATTTTGGAACACCATATATTCCAGAAATACCTTGCTGATCTCAGAACTAAACTGGGTTATCACTTGGGTAGGAGACCATGAAGAAAATGCAGAATTATAATCTAGTCTGGGAAGTCAAGGACAAATTCCTTCCACACTTTTGCTTAAAAAACTTTGTGGGTGAATTCTTGTAGTCATCAAGAACTGAGCTCAAACTGGAATATAATTTAGTGTCGTGTAGTTATTCTAGTACATTAACAAAGGGTGAACATAGCAATAAGCAAAGCAAAAGTAATCTGCACAGTGGTGTGGGGAAGTCAAAAAACCCAAGAAGGTAGTTGTGGCAATATTATTGAAACCTTGCCTTTTTGGTGCATGTGTGAAGCCTGAACAGGGTAAGGCTTTGATGCAGTGGCCATAGCCACTCTCTTGACCTTTTGGACCCCTTCCATACCTGCCACTGAAAATACATGTACATTTCAAATGTCATGCTTCTGGTCTCCAGTAGTCCAGGCCCTTGGCAACAATCCAATACAAATAGATCAATATGCATAAGAAAGCTTGTCTCATTCACTCTACACCAGTGGTTCTCAACCTTTTTAATGCCGCGACCTCCAACCGGTCGTAAGTCGAGGACTACTCAACTGGTGCAGCACCATTTGCAGAATGGGACTTTTGGCGGGCTCAGCAGGGCAGAGACAGCCTGGACAATTCCTATTGGCTTTTGAAAGCCAATAGAATTAGAATCTATTCAAGAGAGTCTATTCTATTGGCTTTCAAAAGCCAGTAGAATAAAAGGGAGTAGCAAGCTAAGGAAAAGTGGAAAAAATGGCGGACTGCGTTGTTTGGCGACCCCCGTGAAATGGTCGTTTGACCCCAAATGGGATCCCGACCCATAGGTTGAAAACCACTGCTCTACACAAATGCAAGTACATAACATTTAGCTGTGAGTAAGCCAGTTAATTCAATAAGAAATATCTCTAAACATATCTGTATACCCTGACATTATACCAGTTAAAGTTAGCACATTTCAGACATCTGAGGGCCAAGACCTAGCAGGCTGGGTATATCCATTATCCAGAGAAGAAGTAGCTGCTCTTCTCTTCATTCAATGAATGAATGAGTCACACGATAGTTGCTTTGTATGGAAATAGATTCTGTTGAAAGTGTAGAAATTTAATACTGGGGGGGGGAATGAGAAGCCCCCTCTTCCTCAAAACCTACTGAAGATGCCTCATGATCAGACAGAAAAGAATGGGTAATACTGAGGAGTTGAACCTTTTCCTGTTCAGAAATAATTTCCTTATCAAAAAAATCAGCTCGGTTAAAATTCTAAAAACAGATAAGTGTGTTCAAGGATAGGGAATCATCTTTGTATAGTGTTTGGGGGGAAAAAAACTAGCTCATTGCCTACCCCAAAATATTTCTAGGATAGTGGACTCATGGTGGTGATGCCCAATCTGCTATTTCATAAGAATATTGGTATTCTAATCTTAGTTAAGATTAGTTAGTATTTTGTAAATGCCTAACATAACAATGCAGGATTTTCCCCCCTTTCAAGTACCATGCAAAATCATTTTCAAAATAATTGCAGGCAAACTGTAATCTCCTTCCTGGAAATATCCCAACAGCGAGGGTTCACAAAGTAGATAGTAAGAGTTCACAAAACTTCCCCTACCCCATTTCAGTAATGAAATTATAGTAAATGGTCCTGTGTCAGAGAATGTGCAGTGATCCCCCCCCCCCATATCACATAATTTACAGCATCTCCCTTTAAGGATCTGGCCACCTTCTAGATTTATAAGAATTATAACTTTCTGAAGCACAGCAGTGATCTTTAGTGACTGCAAAATAATGCATATTTTGTATAGTTGTATAGTTTTATTGATGAAGTGTCCTGCAAACTGGTTTAGTTTGAACTGCCCTCTCTCCCCCTTCCCCCCCAAAAATCTTTGCTGCTGATTCCCATAGGTTTCTATCCAGGAGCTGGAATTCATATCTGCTCCCCAGAAGGAATGATATATAGTACATAAGAAATCATTAAATATCACTGTTTGTCTCTGGCCAGAGTTTTATTATCCTGATGAGTCAATCAAGCGCAACAGCTAAAAGCCATGTTACAGTCTGAATTGTTCTTAAACCAAACTGGGCATACCCATTCCCACTCCTCCTGTTCATGATTTAGCCCAGTGCATTATGGAGTTAGAAAGTGGGATACTGAAGATGTGAAAATATTTGCTTGAGGGAATGCTAACATGATGAAGATATTAAAATTATAGAGGGGTTCTGTAATTCAGTCAATATTTGGAACAAAGTATAATCTTATTTTCTACCGTTGCATATTATCTGTCTATGATAACTAACCCTTGAAATCAATATCCATAGCTTAGCTAAAATGAAATTATTTTTAATGAAATGGATTATCTGGTTAAGCTTTGAAATCAGAATTATGTTGATGAACCTAAAATGTAATAGTAGACTACAATGAAGAAGCTACTGTTTTAAAAATTATCACAACTGTAGATCTTTAGACATCTGGATCTTCTTGAGAACATTGTACTGAATAAGAACAGCCTAACCTCTGCAAAGCACATTCTCCATTCCTTCTCTGCACAAGAAGTGCAAGTTAGTTACAACATGGACAAAGATTTTTAATTACCAGGTATTCCCAACACATCACCTGAAAATCAAGAACAGATGCTCAAAGAGGTGTACATTCAGTGGCATACATTGAGTATATTGACCTTTGGAGAATTCTCAGTGAAAATTCAGCTGCTAATATTGGTTGCAGGATTTTAAACAGAGATCCTTCCAGTCACCTGCTACAAGGTGTTT